CAAAATTCAAGGTCTACATACCCATTCCTGAATATACTGAAGAAAAGTTCATCTACACAAGCCAAAAAATGACTAAGGAATAATTCTAGATTACAGAGTCATTCCTGACAATCTCTTGACCCGACACTGCCACACTGTAGAAGTTAAAACATTCTTGTTACTAGTTTCCCCTAGGAGGGAAGAAGAAAGTGTTTAAAAAACCAGAGGTGTTTATTCTGCAGCCATTCCCTAAAGAGATTTATGCAGTCCATTGAATCTTTTCAGAAACTTCTGCTTCCAGAAGGTGAAGATCTTTGACAAACTGCAATCTGATTTCTGATTTTTGTTCATTTCATTGCTTATCAATAAAGGGCAGAAGAGAGAGAGAGAGGAAGGGGGAGAGAGAGAAAGTGAGGGAGGGAGAGGGAGAGAGGGAGGACATCTTGTGGAAGGTTGTAATTCTAAAGGTTTACCCATTATGTGGATTTGATTTGATTACCTACACAGCAACAAATAATAATGTTAATACTTAAAAAGTACATGAAATAAAAAAAATACATGCAGTAGGTTAGTATATTGTTTTCATTTTGAGTTGCTTATTCTTGACCTCTCTTCCCATCCTCAAATTTAAAATACCCTAATTTTAAAAACATGGATGACATTTAAGATTTTTTTTATAATTCTACAGCAATGATGTGAAGTTTACCTTGGATTTAGAAAATCTGTATCGTGTCGTATTTGGAATATAAATAATCCTTAAAAAATATAAACTAGAGATATGTATTTTAAAATCAGAACTGTCATTTCTCTTTCCAAATTTTTATTCAATCCAAACCATCTTAGGACACACACTGATCTGTGAGTTACGCTTTAAAGTGATCATCCTGGTAAACTCTTAAGGAGTACTGCTACAAATGTAAATTTTTACACTACTGATGTTTTTCCATACCCAAGTATAGAGTTTTTTTGCAGGAAATCAGCAGTGCCTCAGACACTTAGTGATTGTTCCAACATGTGTGACTGACCCAAAATCATAATAGCACAAGATTTAGGGGATTGTACTGGCTTGTTAGTACTAAATGACACTACCACAAATGTAATGTTAGATTAGCGTCCCCCAAAGTTCTTAAGCTTGTATCCTAACATAAATTGGACTTCTCTCTAGCCCTGAATTATCCTGTATATATTTCTAAAAACTGTTTGTAGTGTTCTCAAGGAGAATAAAGCACTTTATAATTTACCAACCAAGTTATCAGTAATAAAATTATCACTAACTTACATGTATGCTTTTTTTTTTTTTTTTTTTTTAAATATAGTCACTCCTGTTCAGATTGTTTTTGTCTTTACTCTTCTGTAATTACCACTTAGGGTCTCAGACTTAATGGAGTTGCTACTATATACACCATAATTTATACTCATTTTCCTCTGGACATAATTGAAGTTCAAATTTTCTTAAATTATTTTTCAAAACCTGATTTTAGTTTATTCTGCAGAATCTTAACTCTTTTCCCTTATTCTGGGTTATAAATAAGCACTTAATAAAATGTCTTAGCGTCAGTATTTACTAGGTTTCGAAATTGTCAGTATAGGTTCTTCCAAAGGAGCCCTAGTGACACACTAGTTAAGCACTTGGCTGCTAACAGAAAGATCAGCAGTTTGAGCCAGAAGCTGTCGAGGTGGGAGGCACGGAAGGAAAGGAACATGGTGATTTGTTCCTGTAAAGATTATAGCCTGGGGAATCTCTATGGGGGCAGTTCTACTCTTGTCACTGGGGTCTGTAAGTCAGAACTGACAAAGCATACAACATAGATGCTAATCACATCAAAAGATTGTTAGTCTTTATTTGCAACTTCAATAGGTTTGTTACACAGACATTTTGTTGTAAAATAGGATTTCAACTATACTACCCAACTGGTTATGTTGTTGGCAATTGACCAGTTGTCCTATTCACATTTTTCAACGTGCAAATGGATGCAGTTACTTTAGTGATACTAGTATAGTCGCATCCTACCATATAGTAGAAATTTTACCTTTTTATACACTCACATTCATTTAAAAGTGATGTTTTTCATTCACATTTTGTAACATTTTAGCACTTTTCTAACATTAACCTATTTAACACTGATTTCAGATTTTGTGGAGTTCAAAATAAAATGAAACCTGGGACTGCCTTGTTTTCCCAAGTCTGGCAAGTTTTCTGCCTTCAAACAGGGTGCAGTCTTAACACTTTTCTACCACTTAATGGGAAAATACTTGAATTTTCCTTTTCTGACAGGTTTTTGCCTTATACAAATTCTGGCTTTTGCAGATTTTACTGTAATTCCCAAGAGAAAATCCTTTGAAGTGGTAAAAACACTGCACTCTAAACCACTTCCTTCCTGCCTTCCCCCAGATTTTTTGTGCTTCTGAGTCTACAGAGCGCCAACTAAAGGAGGTGAAGAGGGTAAGCTCCATGGAGAGAGCTTACCCTGTTGAAGTGCAAAGTTTACAATGCCAGGTAATTTACACTGAACAGAACATTTGATCCTTAGAACACTGGAAAAGCATGTGAATAACATTAAGTTAATTAACAAAAGGAGCTCTGGTAGCATAGTGCCTAAGGCACTTGACTGCTAACCAGAAGGCTGGCGGTTCAAACCCACCAGCCACTCCTCGGAAGGAAGATGGGGCAATCTACTTCTGTAGTGATACTTCCTCGGAAACCTAAGGAGGGGTCGCTATGAGTCGGGTCCAACTCGACAGCACTTAACAAGAACAATTAGCAAAAGGGGTTGAGGAGGGTTGATTTTAGTAAAGTAGTTCTTCCATTTTGGAAAGACCACTTGGGGATCCTGAGAAAGCGGAAATAAGTTTCACAGACTTCATCAAAAACTTATTTAGAATGTAGACGACTTTCCAAGTAACACTTCCTGTATTAACTGTTAATGAACATGTCAATTCACAGAGTACGTTTTCACCTGTGCTTTTACCAGCTTAGTGACAGAAGGACACAATATTACTTGACAGAACCTAACAAAAGTCCTTATTTTCTACTATTCATTAAGAAGAAGAGTATCAGGAGTATTAGAGGTGTCGAGTGTAGTTATTGCAATGATGTAGAATCTGTACTGCTCAAATGACTGGGAACTCAACACTGGGGCCTATCTGCACTCCTATCAAGATTTTTGTGTACCTATGAGAAAGCTTAAATAGTTTGACTCTTCCTGGGTGCAAGACTAGCTTGCCAATAAGGCCTAAATCAAGGGTAAACGAACTTCAGATGAATTTTTACCAAAGAATGCCATCTCTGCCCTAGAAGAGTACACATTAGACTGAATTTTGAAAATTGAAAATCTGATATTGAGACGCTAGTGGGAAAAAATGGTTTGAGCCCACGTAAGTTTGTTTGGTAAATGTGACTCTTCTCCACAACACACCAAGTGTTTTCTCAAGTCAGACTTTACTGGAACTGCCTAAGTCTGTCAAGCAGGCCTACTTTCTCCAGGGTTTTTTTGCCCTGCTGGTGGCACTATAGTTAAAGCAATGGGCTGCCGAAGATGGGGCAATCTACTTTCGTAGTGATACTGCCTGGAAACCCAAGGAGGGGTCACTATGAGTCGGGTGCGACTCGAGGGCACATAATAGGTGATGTTGTTGTTGTTATGTGCCGTCGAGTCAAACCCGACTCATAGCGACCCCTCCTTGGGTTTCCGAGGCAGTATCACTACGGAAGTAGGATTGCCCAACCTTCCTTCCGAGGAGTGGCTGGTGGGCTTGAACCACCAGCCGTCTGGTTAGCAGTCAAGTGCCTTAGGCACTATGCTACCAGAGCTCCTACTATAGTTAAAGCACTGGGCTGCAGCTAGTTTCCACAAAAACCTGACTCACAGTGACCCGTCCTTGGGTTTCAAGGGTATCACTATGGAAGTATATTGCCCAGCTTTCCTAGGAATGGCTGGTTGGTTTGAACCCTCAGCCTTCTGGTTAGCAGCCAAATGCTTTAGGCCCTATGCTACCAGAGCTCCTAGTGAGTCATAGCCCTGAAAACCTATGGGGCAAGTCCTCAGTCCTAGGGTTGCTGCTATGAGTTGGAATCAACTAGATGGCAGTAGGGTTTTTTTTGTTGTAGTTTGGCCAAGCCCTTCAATTTGGAATTGACTCAATGGCAGTGGGTTGGGGTCCCCCCCCCCCCCCCCACTCCTTGGAAGGAAGGTTGGGCAATCTACTTCCCCCCCCCCCCCCCCGCAATCTGGCTAATCTCTTCAGTTTTTAGTTCTCAGCTGGGTAAGGTCAGGAGCTGTGAGCCTGGCTGGAAGCTAACCACAAAGCTACCTCAAAATATTTGAGTAACAGTGAAACCAGAATTAATGGTTTCAGTTATATAAAAATATTTTGAAAAAATGAATCCAAGGTTAAAACCACATTTCAGTTATATAAATCCAATGTACAATTTGTTTTGTTCTACTAGTCACCAATTTAACTTTTATTTTTACATAAAGAAAATGTCTTGGAATTTAAACCTTAAGGATCTACTTGAAGACAGCTGGTGCTATGTTATCAAAGATAGTCACGATGGCCTTTTCTTCTTTAGGTTTTAGTAAAATTATTTCAGTACTCTCATTTAATATTTTAAAGTAGTTTAACATTAGAAGATTAGAAATGCTACCAAAAATTTAAAGTCTGTGTATAGCTTTACCACTTTTAAAAATTCAGCACTTTAAAAGTGCTTTTAGATTGGCTTCTTTATGATGCTTCAGCTACTTTGACCCATTTTTTCAAGTCAACTACTAGGTGATCTTTATAGAGTAAAAAGTATGTTAGCTGGGAGGGAGCTTAAACCACTTCCACCCAAAACTTCTTTGCTAGGTAAAGAAATCAGTTTTATCAATGTCAAAAGCATGTATCATTGATGATTATCATTATGTTTTTCTTTTTTTAGGAATGCACATAGTTTTTAAATTTATTGCTTAGGAATGTGAGTAGTTGTAAAATCTTATGTTACAAGGTTTTTGCATTTACATGAACTTTCACTCATTTTTCAGAATCTGTTCCTAGAGACAGAGAACCCAATACAAAAATGAGAACATGTATGCATAATCAGGAGGATGCAGTGCAAGTGCCTAGTGAAACTCTGAAAGCAAATATGGTACCTGAGAAAGTTCCCCGCAGATGTGCTACTGTTGCTGCAAATAAAATAAAGATAATGAGTAATGTTAAAGAAACGATTTCAGGACCAGAAAATGTCTGGATTAGGAAGAGTAGCAGAAAACTGCCCCATCGAAATGCTTCTGCTGCGGCTAAGAGAAAATTACTGAATGTTTATAAAGAGGATGATACAAGCATAAATTCTGAAAGTGAAAAAGCTAGAAGACATTAATAGCAATATGCTTTTTTTTTAGGTGGTTCAGATCCTGGAAAGGAAAAGCACAATAGTGACTGAAAATGTGTAAGTGGAATCTGAAAACATTCAGGCCACAAGTAAACTGGCAGTTGCATTACTCCTAGTTCCTAAATAAATCCCTTGGCATCTTTTGAGAAATTTTCTAAAAGCCATAATCCAGTGGGTCAGAGTGGGAGGAGGGCTTCCTACTAGACAGTCCTTGAAACAGATATACACTTCAGAGAATTCTGATGAGGAAACAGGAGCCTGTAGTTGGAGAGGCAGAGAGAAACCCCAAATGGCCTGTTGTAAGATTCCCATTCCTTTCCAGAAAGATAGGGCCTTGAAGAAACTTCTTGGTTTCTTAGAGAAAGAAAATAATGGGATGTGTACAGGGTATATAGGAAAAACTTTAAGGACTGAAAAAATTTCAAAATGTCAACTCATGCTAATTTTAAAGAGTTCTACATTAGAATATGAAAGAAAACTCATACCACCATGATTATGGTGTAATTACTGAAATGAGAAATTAAGCATATTTCAGCAGCAAATGCCACTGAGTCTGTTTGACATTTGAATGAAATACCTGAGATTCAGTCCCTATAATTCCCTTCTCCCAAAATCAAAAACAACTTAAACTATAAGTGAGGGATTCAGCATTGGGGATGTTGATAATTGAGTTCTGTGTATCAGAAACGGGCAATTAGAGAAAAATCTTTTAATGTCTCACTCGTAATACTGAAATTCATACTGAATGATGATCACTTCATATGACTACTTCAGGGAATATATATTTTTCTATGAAAGTTATGAATGTGACTAAAACAACTTCTTTTCCTTATTTGTACTTGCACGTAGCATTTAGAGAGATGCCAAAATGTACCTCATAAGAGGCAGATTTTAATTTTAATCAGAAAAAAGTATACATTAAGGTCAGTCATTTTTTAGATGATACAGTGAAATCCTCCCATGTTTCTTTCTGGAAGGATAAACTGTAGCACCTTAAAAGTTAGAACTTTACTGAGCAAATTTATCACAATCTCATCAGAACACAAATTAATGACAGCATGTCTGGGCTATTTTATTGTGGCCTTCACTAGGATTAGAAAATTTGGTCATTATAATACAGAATTTCTTTGCAATTGGGTTTAATTTATTGTCAATAGGTATTCGTTGAAATTAAGATCAGATGAAATGAATGTACTGTCAAATCAATATAGTAATATGTTACTGGAAAAATGTTAGGAGCAAGTTTTCCCATTTAAAAATATCTGTGAATATTAATATATGATTTGCATGTGTAAATCTGAAAAAGTAAATATAGAAAATTAGTTTCTGTTCCTTTTTAATTAAATACTAATGGATCTATTTTGGTTATACGGATGGACCAAGTATCTAGATTACTTGAGAAATTTGTGGTTGCATGTCTGTTTCAAAAATGGCTTTTTTTTTTAAATGCATAAGCCAGAATATTTCTAACCTACAGTCTGTATTCTTTGCTCTGTTTGCAGTACCGTTTCATCTGAAATACTGATACCAGTATCTTGTTAATAGTATGGGTGAGAAAGGGGAGAATTCCTAATAAACTGCTAATATATTTTTAGTTGCATGGGGTTTGATTTTTTGAGCTCTAATGACACATTTAACTAAACCTATTTCCAGTCCTATAGGACTTATAGGGTATATTATAGCCTCAACAAATACTGTACAATGAAAATATTTAAGTCTCATTTAACACTATTTATGCAAAATTTTTTGACAATTTCAATGTAATGAAAAATTTGAACTTTGATATAATTCATTGTGGGATTAATTTTTGTCAGTACTTGAAGTTGTATTCATCAGCCTTCTTTCATAGTTGAATCCCTCTTCTAGTTTACTATTTAATTTGAGCATATATTTGCTTTTTTCTTTTTAAGTGTCCTTTATTATTAATGCATGATATAAGCAGTTTAAAACATAATATTCTCGTAAAAATGTTCTCTGAAATTTATGAAAAATTTAAATCACAGCCAAATGTATTAATATTACCCTATTTACAATAATTTTAATCAGCTTTCCAAAAAAGATCTCTTTACAATGTAATTGTGAAATCAAATTGAGGCTCTAGCTGGTAAAAATCACAAGTTAGTTTATTCAACAAAAATTTTAAGATAATGTGATGCCCAAACCATCTTTTTATCTGGCAGTTTATTCTATAAAATCATTTAATCCAGGAGTTTTAATGTAGTTTTAAAATATCATATTGGTAATCTTGTATAGAATGATTGACTTAAGCTACCCAAAGTTTCTTAAGGTCTTAATGGATACTAATTTGGTTTTATTAATTTGCTTATACTTAAATGTTTACATTTTGCTTCAAACTATTCCCCTCCCAACTTTATTTTGCAGTACGTAAGTAAAATGGCTAAATGCTGATTTTATGTATATTATTTTGGCTATCATTATTTCTCTAAATTTTAGGTAGACTTCCTAATCTACTTTGGAAAAAAAAGGCTCCCTTGCCTCTTTGGCATGTGGCTATTTATTGACAGTCCCAAAATGCAAGCAAAAGCTGTCTATTCTCAGCACAACTATATCTGAGAAAACATTTTTCATTGCAATTTGGGAAATTTTCATGTTCAGTTAAATAACGGTACAGTTGTCCTCTGACTGGATTAGTGAGTTGTGAATTTTGTCTTCCAACATATTTCGAAGAAGAAAACCAACACAAAAACAGTCACATACTTTGCTTATTTATGAAAGGCTTTTTTTTTTTTTTTTTTTAATGTATTAGTTGGAAGTGGCCAGGTTCTAAAATAGAAGCAATTATTTTTGTATTCTGCGGTTTTAAAAATGTCTTTTAGATTCGCTTGACAATCGTGAGCTTTTGAAATGTGAATTTCTATTGCCAGAGTAAAGGTTTTTATGAAATGAAGCACTGTTTTTTTTTCTATCCTTCTGGCCACCTCCACCTCACAGGGCTGCGGGCAGGACCAGAGGGCGTAAGGCGCCCGGGTCCGCTCACCGCGGCTCTCGTTCAGGGTTCGCTCCGCCGGGGCCGGCACCTACCTGCGGGAACCGAGGCTTGGAGACGGGCGCCTAATAAACTACAGTTCTCCCGGTCGTTCCTAACGGAGAAAAAAAAGAAAGGGACTAGAGGAAAGGAAAATAAAAGCGGTTCAGACTCGAGATGGGCGGCTTACTCCTCTTCCCGGTCCGTTACTGGTCGGTGAAGAGTTTCGGCCGGTCTCCGGCCTCTCTAGCAGACAGTCTTCTAGTCGGTCGGTCTTCCTGCGGGTCCTCGCGTGCAGAGTAACCAAGATAGGTTTCTGCCGCGACTGGGGCAGTGTAGTGTGGTGGGGCTCAGGGGCGGAGCTTAGTGTGGGGCGGGGCGGAGCGGCTCGGGGCGGAACTCAAGGGCACAGGGAGGAGCACGGGGGTGGACTCGGGGCGTGTTCGTAATCCTGCGTCGCCTCAGTTGGGCTCCGAGTCCGAGGCAGCTATGGCTGCCACGTTCTTTGGGGAGGTAGTGAAGGCGCCGTGCCGAGCTGGGACTGAGGAGGAGGAGGAGGAAGAAGAGGCTGAGAGGGAGACGCCCGAGGACAGAGAGGTACGGCGGCAGCTGGTGCGGAAGAGGTGAGGCACCTGGCGCGGGGAAACGCGGGCAGCCGGGTCGGACGAAAGGTCTGCAGGCCCGGAGCGAGTTTGAAATCCCATGTGACGGTTATCAGCCGTGGGCCCCGACAACTTCGCCGCCCCGGGTGCGGGTCAACCGATACACCAGGGTGTGCAGCTCACCCCAAATACCTTGTCAGGTCTTAGTGTAAGTACTCTCGTTGATCTACTAGTACTTGAATTGAGTCATGAAAGTGGAACCATTTTGGAGGAATTGGATTCAGGTTCTTTATAAAGAATTGACTCCAACGCTTCTTTTAACCTGTATTTAGCCTTGGTTTCTTGCAGATTTGTAAAGTGATCTTTCCACTTCTTGAACGATTTTTCAGGGCTATGAGCGTTTGTCACATACTTGGTTTATGGATATTACGCCAATTCTGTTAGAACTGTTTTATCCCCCACCCCACACACAAGAGACTTCCACATCCTTTAACCCCTATATTCTTCAGAATGCATTGGAAATGATATAGGCATTTTTTAATATAAGCTATTTCTAGTTTTAACAAAATTAACAATTCCTTAATATCACTTACTATCCAGTCCTTGGTCGAATTTACCCAGTTGTCTGAAACATGACATTTTACAGTGGGTTTATGCAAATCTTAATCCAAACAAATTCCACACATTACATTTAAATGTTTTGTCTCTTAAACCTCCTTTCATTTAGAGTGCCCCTCCTCTTTCTCTTTAGTCCTGTTGAGAGGTTGATTGTCATGTAGAATGTCCCACATTTTTGGGTTTGTGATTGCTTTCTCATGATGCCATTTAACAAGTATATCCATCATCTAGCCCATCCTGCACCATTGTCTTGAGAGGTTGCAGATTAGACCGTTTGTTGTGATCCGTAGGGTTTTCGTTAGCTTATTTAAAAAAATAGATCCCCAGACCTTTCCCCTAGTCTATCGTAGCCTGTAAACTTCACTGAAACCTGTTCAGCATCATAGTAACACATAACCCTCTACTGACAGACATAGGTGGCCGAACATGAAGTGCATTGGCTGGTAATTGAATGCAGGTCGCCCACATGAAGGTGGAAATTCTACCACTGAACCACAAATACCCTCATCTAAGACTAGGAAGAAAGGCCTGGTGGTCTGCTTGTGAAAGTCAGCCAATAAAAACCCTGTGTATCACAAATTCCATCCCATTGTGCAGAGGCTTGCCTTCAGTCTGGGACAAAAACAGCGACAGCATCCATCATCTGCATTTCTTGTAAATGAATATTCACTCTAGAAGCTTAGTCAGGTTCAGGTTTAATATTTTGTTGGCAAAAATGCTTCAAAGGTATACATTGTGTTTGTTATGGATTAAATTGTGTCTCCCAAAAAAAATATGTTGTAAATCCTAAATCTTTATACCGGTAGATGTAATTCCATTTGGAAATAGAATTTCTTTGTTGTGTTGAACACTCCATGTCAGTGTAGGGTTTCCTTTTAGCCAGGCAGCTTTAAGTTACAAAAAGAGCAGAAGGGAGAAGATGATCACCAGGAAACAGTAAAACAGAAGGTGAAAAGAGACAAGAATATTCCTCCAGAAGCTGTAAATAAAGCCTTCCCCTAAAGAAGAAAGCCTTCCGATGTAAGGTTGCGGCAAGGAGAAGCGGGCGCACAAAAGTGGGGTTAAAGAGAAGTTTTTATTCTACGCTCCTGGGTGAGGTTTACGGTCCCGAGAGGGGGTCTGTAGAGGTTCACGTGCCCCTGAGAGAGGCTGGAGAAGTGGCCCCACCCCTACGTGTGTGTGTGGGGGGGGGGGGGCAGAGGGAAAAAGGCGTGAACCAATCAGGTTAAAGCACCTCATTAGCATAGTCCTTAAGGGAGGGGGGAGGACTTGTGCTGGTTCAAAATAAGGCGGGAACCAATCAGGTGGAAGCTGCATCTGGGTTGGCCTGTTTATAGCTTCTTCCTGTTCAATCTTTTACCCGCCTGACTGGCACCGCATTCCCGGAGGCTGACATCCCATAGACTTCCCACTTGTCTGTCAGTTTGTCATACTGTGGTGGCCTGCATTTTGCTATGTGGCTGAGGGCTATGCCACCCGTATGTCACATATCAGCAGGGTCACCCATAGTGGATAGGTTTCAGTGGTGCTTCAAGACTAAGACAGTGGGAAGAAAGACAGGGCCATCCAATTCTGCAAAAAATGGCCCCTGATACCTTATGAATAGCAGTGAAACACTGTCTGATATATTACCAGAAACGTTTATAAATAGCTCTGAAACATTGTCTGATAGAGTGCGGGAAGGTGAGCTCCTCAGGTTGGAAGGCACTCAAAATGTGACTGGGGAAGAGCTGCCTCCTCAGTGTAGAGTCAACCTTAATGATATGAATGGAGTAAAACTTTTGGGACCTTTATTTACTGATGAGACATAACTCAGAATGGGAAGAAACAGCTGCAAAAATCCATTAATAATGGGAACATGGAATGTACGAAGTATGAATCTAGGAAAAATAGAAGTTGTCAAAACTGAAGTGGAATGCATAAAGTGCATTAGTGAGCTGAAATGGACTGGTATTGGACATTTTGAATCAGAAAATCATGTGGTCTAGGAATGATAAATTGAAGAGAAATGGCATCACATTCATTGTTGAAAAGAACATTTCAAGATCTATCCTGGGAAGAAGGGCCTGGCAAACTACTTCTATAAGATTACAGCCAAGAAAATCCTATGGACTACGGTTCTGCTCAGGAGCTCTGGTAGCGTTGTACCACTAAGGCATTTGACCGCTAACCAGAAAGCTGGCGGTTCAAAACCACCAGCCACTCCTCAGAAAGAAGGTTGGGCAATCTGCTTCCGTAGTGATACTGCCTTGGAAACCCAAGGAGGGGTCGCTATGAATCAGGTCGGACTCCACAGTACATAACAACACCACAACAACACAGTTCTACTCTGATACACGTGGAGTCACCATGAATCAGAATTGACTTGATGGCAATTTTTTTTTCCCCAATC